CCCAGGCCCTTGGTACCCCCAGGGCAATCCCTTCTGCCAAGTGTCCCAAAATGATTGCTCAATGCCTGGCTCCCCTTCTTTTATCCCCTCTCTCAGTCCCCCTTTCTGCTGCCAGCTCCCTCAACTCTTCCCTCTGACTCTCCGCTCTGTCCCCTGCCCCTGCCAGGCAGATCCCTTCCTCTACTTCCATACCCATCACTGCCTCCCTGCTCAGCCGGCCCCTCCATCCCCGCAGCAGTGAGAAGCCTTAATTCCTGGTACTGTGTGAGCACTCTGGGGGTGTCCCCCTCCCCCTTCAGGGGCAGCTAGTGGACGAGGGGGGAGGGTATTTAGCACTGGGGCCTGGAGCTTTTCCCCCACTTCTGTTTCCCATCACCCCTAAAGTTCAAATGCAAAACACTTGAAGCAGCAACTACTGTACCTGGGCCCCAATCCTGCACTCTCCCTGGCTCCTCATATGCAAATCAAGGGCTGGTTCTGCCCCCACAGCCTGCCCCGCCCTGCTTCCCTCCCTGGCCTGGCCCCCTGACCACGCACTTTAACCTTGCTTCTTTCTTTTAACTTCTTTTGGGAGGGTGGAGCCTGTGGCCATTCCCCCTCTGGCTCTCCTCTCCCTTAACTTTGAGGCTTGTCATGAATTTTTAAGTAAGTATTTTATCCTTTAGGGGAAGAAACAAGTTAATTTCCTGCCCATTTCAAAACCACAGCCCTAGTATGTCCTCTGTGTTTCAGGCATGTGTTTGCATGTGTGTGGAGGGAGGGACCATATTCTTCCTCCTAGGCCCCCCAACCCCACAGCTCCTCTGTGCCCCGTCTGCCGCCACCTTCTGTTAGGTCCAAGAGTACCCACCGCCCCCAGTCACTCCTGATCTGAAGCCAAAGATGGTGGGAGGGGCAGGGCAGACTAGGGACCGTGGCTACTTGAGGACCCAGGCTTCCCCTCTTGTGTGAGGATGAAGTTCTGATCTAGGGAGCGACGAATAGACACTGAGGCTTGGTTCCTGCCTTCCCAGCAGCGGGGAGAGAAGGGATTGAGCTAGGGGCTGCACTGAGAAGATTCCTAAAAGTCGCACCCCGAAAGCCAAACTGGGCTGGAGTGAGGAGGGGGCAGTTTTCTCTCTAAATGTAGCATTGCATTTGGCCCTGGTCCCTTCAGATGCCCTGTCCATCCATCTCCTAGCCAAGCCTCCTGGACAGTTGGACCTGCTCCTGCAGCCCAGTGTTCCCTTCCTCACACTCAATACCTCAGCCAGGGGCCAAGACACAGAACTTGAATAGAGGTCATGCCCCCTCCGCCCCCACAGTGCATCCTTGCCCAGTTTGGCTGCCATCAGTATTGTCCCCTGAGAACTGGACAGGCTTCGTTTACACAGAACAGGGTCTCCCCCTGGGGGTCCCTCAGCCTCCTTCCCCCACCCACGCTTGCTTTATTCATGATCTTACCCCCTTTTCAGTTGTGTTCCCTGCAAGTCTTGCCACCCGTGCCAAGGGTGAGTTGAGGGGAGAGGGGGGCATCCCAGTGACCCCTCCCCCCGACTGACACCCTTAGCCATACCTCATGCTGGTTCCCTGAAGCCTGGGGGTGTTTGTCCAAGTCCTTGTTCTTTTTGTCGTGGTCCCTTTTTGTCCCCTTTCTCTCTGTGTCTCGCTCCCCTCAACCCTCAGTTCCTAAACCATTTCAAAGCTTCCAAATGACCATTATTGGTGAGAAGGATTGTGCAGTTTTTAGTTTTTAGTTTTGTTTTTGAAGCCAAAGGGCCTTGCGACGCCCCTCTTGCCCACCTCCCTTCACACCCTATCCTCCCCTATACGACAATCAATGTGACCTCTCTTAAGGGCTGCAGCCCCCACCCCCAACCCTGCTGGTTCTGCAAAGCTTGCCCCCAACTTCAGTTCTCTCTCCTCAGATCTTCCCGTTCCACCCCCCTCTGCCTTCTCATTTTGGTGCTGGGAATTAGGTGTTGGGGGGCAGGGGAGTGGGGAGATGGGTCCTCCAGAGAAGACACTCGGGGTATCAGTCGTGTTCTCCTTTATCAATGTTTGGCGACGACAGGAAGAAGCTGAGTATTGTCAGGAGCCCCATCGTGCTAGATGAGATTTCTGGTGGCTGCCCGTTCCCTGCTGCGCCTTCAGCACCCGTCAGCAGTGCTGGGGCCGGTTGTGGGGAGTCCTCTGTGCCTCCTCATGTGGTCGTGAGGAGGCCTGGGGGATGGGCAGCCTCCTCTCCTTATGCCAAAGGAAACCCCACACCCTACCCCAGTCTCCCCAGCCCCTAGTGTCTTTGAAGCATTTTGACCATTCTCATGGCCACTGCATATTTATTTTAATGTTAAGTTGTTTTTTTTTTAAACCTCTTTGACTTAAACGGGTGTGGAGAAGTAAAACAGGCAGAATGCCCCCCAATCTTAAGGGGGTAGGGTGGGGAGGAAACATCTTCCCTTTGCCCTCCCTCTCCCCCTCCCCCTCCCCACCGCAGCTCTAAAGCACTTGCTTCAAGTAATAAGCACTTTTGAGAAAAGGCCTATTTTAAGTGAGGACCCTGGGTGCAGCCCCAGGTCCCAGCAAAGGAGACAGAGCGAGGGCTACATAGGAGACAGGGAAACAGACGTGGGAATCAGAGGGCGAGATGAACAGAGCCAGTTTTTAGTTTCTGATTTTTGGGGAGCTGTTTCTGATTGGGCGGTGGCTTTGGTAGGGTTGTGTACTATCCTTCAGAAAAACAAATGGCACAAACTGTGGGTCCCAGGATGGACCAACAGACCCAGGTCACTGCCACTGTCCAACTGAGACTGACGGGCCACCTCCCCCGCCCCGTGGCCCCCTGAGCCATAGGACTGCTGAAAACCACTGAATGTACAGCCCAGGTTGGGGTGGGGAGCAGCCCCTGGGGGAGGGGGCTTCTCCTTTTGTTTGGTGCTGTGGGGGTGGGAGAGATGAGACTGAGGGACTGCCACCCCACTTAGACATGTGTTCCTTGGGGTGGAGGGGCTGAGGAGGGCTTGCCTCCCTCTCCAACCCCAGCCATGGCCCCTCTTCCTTCCTCACCCCTATCCGTTTTGACTGTAAGTCCAGCTCACCTTTGCCTTCAATATGTAACCAAAGGAAAACTCAATACTGTTTCCACCGCTGTCTGCCCACCCGAGCACCTTCTTACTCCCCAGACTTAGGAGGGGAGAAGGGCGGGGGGGGACAGGGGGTGGGGGCCAGAGTGAACGGTTCTACAGCTGTACCCCCAAAGCCTCCTCTGGGGTCTTGGAAGGGACCCTGGGAGAGAGGGTGTTGGGGCCAGGCTGGAGGGACTGGGAGCAGGCATGCTCAAGATCTTGTGCACATGAGTGTGACTTCGTCTGAATGACTCCAGTGACTGCGCTCCAGAGGGAGGCCCCTTCCTCCTTCCCTCTCCGCCATTTCTCACCCTTTCCCCGCATCCAGTGTTCATACCCCACCTCCCCTTCCCACCACAAAGGAAAATAGCCTTACAGACCCTAGCCCAGAAACCCTCCTCCCGGGGCACACCAGCACGGGGCCCCATCCCGCCTAGTTTGAACCCTACCTTTTAAGAAGGAGGGATAAGGAGCAAAGCAGCCCCTTCCCCTCCAATCGCGGCGACTCCAGCCCTCCGCGGCCGCGGCCCAGACTGGGCGAGCGCGGAGGTCAGGAATCCTTGAGGACCAAGCCCAGTGGTCTGGGAAGAGGGAGGTAGAGAGGGAAGGGTCTGACTTGGGGACCCCCTCCTCCTGACCCAACCCCTAGAGAAGCGACCAAATCCCAGAGATGGGAGGAAGCTGGGGTGGGGAGGGTCTGCTCTATGAATTACTTGAAGGTACTGACTCCAAGGCTGCTGTTGCCCACTTAGGTGTGAGGGGGACACTGTCATTGCATTTGGGAGGGCGGAGGGTGGCGGGTGACGAGAGGATCTGCCCTTGGCCCTCGCTCACTCCTGCTAGGCCCTTTCCCTGAGGAGCCTGTCTTTGTCCCCAGGGAAGCCGGGGCGAGCCTGCCCCTCCCACCTCCGTCCCTCACTCTGGGCACCCTCTCCAATTGCACTAAATTAGCTGTGTGCCAGTCTTACCCCACACCACACAGGGTGGGGTCTCTGCTTCCAGTCCTTTCTCCCCACTGCCTCTGCTCCCATCCCAGACAATCTCCTTGATCCCCTGTATTCCTGGATAGCTCAGCTTTGTGTGTGTGTGTTTGGGGGGTGGGGTGGGTTCTGGCTGGAGTGGGTTTGGTTGGGGTTTGGGAAGGGCTAGGGGGAAGATGGAGGATGCAGCCTTCTACCCCCTTCCTTAACTCCAAGCCACAGAAGCCTGGGAGGGAGGGTGCCTCCACTCGCTGCCGTGTGTCTTGCAGATGTGCCAAAATGTGGGTGGGGGGAGGGGAGGGTGCCTGGCAGAGCGGCCTCCAGGGTGGCTCTCTCAAAGCAATACAGTTCCTCCTGCCTGGGGGATGGCAAGACAGGGGAGAGGGTTGGGTTAGGGACCTGGGGGTTCCCTGTGTACAGCTGTGTATTTTCAGGGGTGTTCTCTGTCTGGTACCCACTGTGGGCGTCTCTGTGTGTGTGAACCTCCCCTTCCCTGTGCCCTGCATGACCTGTGATGCTGCAGACACCACCATCCTGTGTGCAGGGGTGTGTTGGGGGCACTGAGGGGCATGTCCCATGTCCTGTTGCACCCTCCACCCTGTGACCCATGTACTCGGTTGTAGGAAGTAAAGAGAACTGAGCACAATTCACTGGATTCTAGTTGAATCTTTCTCTAAGCAATGTTCCCCTTCCTGCCCTTCTCCCTGCCCTGGATCCACCTGTGGTGCTAGTGTTGGGGTTGGGGGTGATTAATGCTGGTGGGCAGCAATAAAGGGCAGACCTGCCCAGATGCCTGTATCCCCAGGGTGCTGAGGGCAGCAGGAAAAAGTGGGGACTTCAGTGCATTTGCCCCACCCCTCCCCCTCCTCCCTGGGCTAAAGCACAATGCTCTCCCCGCAAATTGCAGATCGCAGATCGATGCACCCTGCATCCTCGAGCCCCCCCCCCCCCCGCTTTGAGCCCTCCTCCCGCCACATCCTGGTTTTCTATGCTGTTTTGGTGCAAGTACAACTGTCGTAGTCATGGCTTTGGGATGGGTTCTGTTTATTAAAATCCTATTGCTCCTACTGGCCCTGTGTCCCGCTTCCATTCCTGTGGTTGGGGGGAAGGAAGGGCAACCTGGACGCCTTTCCACTGGCCCCCATCAGCCATTAGAGACCAGGGGCCACAGCCGCTCCTCCAGCAGGGCTATGGTGAGCATGAGGCTGCCCCCCAGCAGCAGCCCCAGCCCCTGCAGTAGCACGTTGAGCGTAGGGAGGGGCTCAGGTGGATGAAGCAAGGCTGGGAGCTGAAAGGGAAGAACAGCATCAGGATCCTGCCCTGGTCTCTGCCCCTAAAACTCCAGACGAAGATGTCAGAGTGTCAGCAGCCCCACTCAGACCCCTCCAAGCCCTTGTTTCTCAGACACTTGCAGGCCTGTGGTCCAGCCCCCTGCCAGGTGGCCACTGTGAAGGCAGAGGGACCGACACTCCCTCTCCTCCACACCCACCTCCCCACTTCCCTTGGTTTTTCTGTACTTCCCCACACCTCTCACCATGTCCACAAGGGCCACATAGAGGAAGACCCCAGCAGTGACCCCAAACACCCAGGGAGTGAGGGGGATGGGGCCCAAACTGAGCCCCACCCCCAGGGCTGCACCCCCAAGTCCCAGGACTCCAGACACCAGGCTCAGCAGCAGCAGGCTCCGGAACGGCAGGCCTGCCTGGAGCAGCATCGCAAAGTCACCTGTGGGGAGAGGACAGGGCTGGAGGGAGTCAACCAGGGCTGTCCCTCAGCCATGTCACCCACCAACCTCCAGCTTCCATCCCTTGCAAGTCTGTCCTTTCTGAAGTCCACCCCACACGCTTCTGCCATCCCTACCCAGTTCGTGAGGCAGCTCGTGGCAGAAGACTGCTATGGTGGTGCTGAGACCACTGGAGAAGCCGTCAGAGAAGGCAGCACCTGGGGTGGGCAGGATTGGAGGTGGTCAGTCTGAAAGGAAGCTCTCCCCAGGGGCAGGGGCCTGGGTTCCCTCTGTGGTCCTCCCATCCCCCTTTCCTGGTAGCCCTCTCCTAGCCCCAGCCAGTAGCTGAGAGCCCTGCCTTCTCCTTGGACCTCACTCCTTCCATCCCCTCCCCTCACACCTATGGCCAGCCCGTCAGTGAGGTTGTGCAGACCGTCTCCCAGGAGGACCATCCATGTGATATTGGTGCCACTGCCACTATGGTGTCCATGACTGTGGCCTTGGTGCCCAGGAGGGGCTGGGGCCTGGCTGTCCTCCCTCTGGCCCTGAGCCCCTGGCTCTGCAGAAAGAAGGACAAGGAGCAGTGTTGGTGGCTGCAACTGAGAGCTAGGAGCCAGGGGCCTGCTCTTCATTTTCTCCTCTGGTCACCTTGAGATGCCTGTAGGGGCTGAAGTGCCATCCCACTGACGTTCTCCGGGTCCAGGTCTGGTGTTCCAACATCCTTTCTTTTCCGTCGGCAGTATCTCTGAAATGGGAGGGTATCCCTCTTGGTGGAGGAGGCAGCAGAGCGGGGGCTAAGGAGAGGCCAGGCTACGGAGCTGGGAAAATGAACACCCGGTTCCACCTCTGGTACTTGGGGGTGTTCTTTGGCCTCTGCTCTCTTCCCAGGTTGGCACCTCCCTGTTTCTTGCTGACTTGAACTCAGAGAGGAGGCCGGAAGTCCTAGGTCTATGCTGAGGAGCCCCTACCCACTCCCTGTTGTCAGGTCCTGCAGTCAGGCAAACGGCAGAGCCAGGAGCATGCTTAGCCCTTCACCTCCTGGCTCGAGTGGCCACTTCTAGGACTCTGGTCACGGCAGAAATAGGGAAAAAGGGTGTCACTCACTGGCCCGAGCCCTTGGCGCCGCAAAAGCCCTAGCATGTTCTCCAGCACGAAGAGCAGGAAGAGACCACCAAGCACCGACAGTCCTGGTCCCAGGTCCTCCTCTGGTCTCCCACCAGATCCAGCGTGCTGCCCTCCATGTGCCTGACAGAGAGGCAGTCAGGGCGGACTCTGGAAGCCCCGGCACCCGACACCAACCCCCTCCTGAGTGGGAGGTGGCAAGCCTTCACGCATACGCTCTACCAGAAGGCAGCTGTAGCTGTAGAAGCCGGGGTGGGAGAGAGGATGTCCTAGGGCTGGGAACATCTTGGATTGTGGAGGCTGTTCACCCATGGGGGCAGGGGAACAAAGAAGGGACTTCACGTACATGTGGCAGCAGGTGTAGCAGCGCATCCCCACAAAGAGTGCCCACGGCCAGGGCCCCCAGGAAACCCAGCAGGGGCCGCAACAGACGAGGTCCCAGGAGCCGCAGCAACAGCAGGGAGAGGGGAGTGGGGAGGCTGAGCAGCAGGACTGCCAAGGCACTATGAACCAGAGCTGGGGAGAATCAGGGGCTGAAGTTAGGCAGGGCTGGATGGAGGCCTCCTTGGAGGTGAGGTGGGGCAGAGATATGCTGCAAGGGGAGGCAGGACCCCAATGAACCCTCTTCCTCGGCTTGGGGCCCACCACCCACTCTCACCCACTGACCAGACAGTAGATCCCCTGGGGGAGTTGGGGCTGGGGTCTGGATGCAGACACGGCTCTCAATCTGATAAAGCAGGGCTGGACACAGCAGAGCAAACTGACGAGGGGTCAGAGGAGCAGCAGGGCTCAGGCCAAAATTGACCAGCAGCTGGGAGCCATTCAGACACTAGGGGAGTTGAGTTGGAGGTCATACATTGGGGAAGTCTGGGAACTGTGACTCAGATCTTTAATGTCTGCCCTTCCACTGCATGGACTCCTGGGTCTCTCCCAGGGTCCCATTTGTTCACTGGCAGTGCATCAGGGACTGGGGACAGTTATGTATAATCAGTGTGTGTTAATTATTAGTGAATATTCAGTCCAATGTAAATATTCAATTCAGTGTGAATTGGGTGCTAGTGAACATTGCCACCAGCTCCCTTCCTCCCAAGCCCAATAATGTTTCATTGATTTGGTGATGGAATTGGGTGGACAACTAGAGCCCTCCATCCCGAAATCTTAGAAGGGAAAAGAACCTAAAATGCCATGCACCCTTCCTCTCAACAGCCCTGTTACTCGTTCACCCAGCCTTGGCTGGAATGCTTCCTGTGATGGGGTGCTCACCCTTACCAGGCATGCTTCGTGGCTGGTTTTGGCTGCCCTCTGGTGTACGTGGAACAAATTCACTGACTTTCTGTAATGAAGACAGCCATCTACCCCCTGCAGCTCTCCTCTCCAGATAACCAATGCCAGATCCTACCCTGGGCTGCTTCTCTGAATTCTCTGCTTTGCAAAATGTGGCCCCTAAACCAAGTCTTGGAGTTCTGAATGTGGGTTTATCTATTCTGAACCCAGAGGGAACATATTTCTACTGGAGTAACATACCCTAAGATCACGCCTGGATTTTTTTTTTAAGTAACCATTTAAAATTACTGACTCTCTAAACATTTTAGGCCATCAAAATCCCGTGATTCATTCCCCCTCTCTAGAGATCATCAGACTCACATCCTCATTCAGATGATCAGCCAATGAATGGTCCAGCAGCAGAAGCCTGTGAAAGAGGCCCAGGCCCGAGGGGCCTGGCCCCTGAGGTGGTACTGGGGCCTCTGGCTCCTCCAGGTCACCCCACCCTGAGGGATCCAGCGGCAGCCCTGCCCAGACATCCACACTCAGCTCAGGGTCTTGTGGCCTAGAATGGATGGGATAGCCAGTCAGACTCACTCATGCTCTTTTAGAAAGGGGGCTTGAAAGGATACAAGGAGTCAGGTTCTGAAAAATCTGTAATTCCAGGAATCTGATTTTAGGGAGCAGAGCTGGGCAACTGGAGACTGAGCCAAGCACTGAGAAGAGCTGGGGTGTGATATTTTGGGGTGGGGGTGGGGGTTACTACCTGTGCGTGAAATTGTCTCCAGCTGGGGGTATAGCCCGGCCAGCTGGCGGCCCATGGTGTCCCAGGCGGAGGGCCTGAACTCGGCCTAGCCCCAGGCTGTGGAGCAGCCGCGCCAGGCCCCCTGCAGTCAGCGTCCCATTCTCCCCGTACAGGCCAAACAGCTGGGCCAGGTAATGGTTCTGCTCCTGCTCAGCAGGGCCCAGGTTGGGGGCTGAGCCCCCTCCCCAGCTCAAGGACACCCATACACACATGCCAGCCAGCAGATGACTCATGGGGGACCTCATTATTGGAAGGACCGGGTAGAGGCGCTGGTCACGGCTTCTACTCCCCCAGGAGCATCCCGAACACTGTGCCCTGGAAGAACAAGGAGGAGGGGCTGGGGCTCCTGCTCTGCCGTCCATCGCAGGACCTGGGGAGCCCACACACCTCAGACTGCCCCCACCTCAAATCCAGCGGCAGCCCCTTCCTTCCTCCCCCCAGTGCCACCTCCTGAGCAGCACTTGTTTGCCAGTTCCTTGAGCACCGTCTCTGAACCAGAACACTCCCCTGACCTGACCCAGAGCTGACCATCCCTCCCCTGTTCCCCAAACCTGACCCCTCAACTTTGCCTCACCTCTGTCCTGCCTCAATCCCCAGGGCCTCACCCCCACTGGCAGTGTGAGAGCCGTCACTTCAGGTCCGTGGCAGGCCTTGCTGTGGACACTAAGAGGTTCCTGAGTCAGGAAGGGGAGCTGGGCTCAGCCTCCAGCTGCCCAGGTAGATTGGAGGCCACGTCAGTTAGAGGCTGGATGGACAAGCTCCCCACACCCCCAGCCCACCTGCCTGGGGGCGGGGTCAGAGGAGGGGCCAATGTGGGAAGGCTCACATCAGATAGGAGTTAATGGTTCACTGGTCTCTGGGATGGGGGAGTCAAAGGTCAGTCTTGGCTGGGCCCCTGAGTAGGGGAGGGCCACCCTCTGCCCCTAGAAAAGCCACATGGCTAAGAACTGGGCCTCATCTTCTAAATAATTCGCACACATACCAACCCAGCTAGTACCATCTTAGCCTTTCCCTGCGTCCACTCCCACCCCACCTGCCTGACATCAGGCACTGGGCTTCATTCATCTCCACCCCCATCCCCACATTCCCTGGGAGGGTCGGACCCAGGTGTCCCTAAGCTGGAGAAGAAAGTGAAGAGGCAGATTAAGGGGCCACCTCAGATGTATAGGGCAGAAATTGTAGAACTTCCTCATCCCAGAAGAGTAAGAGCCAGAACTCTGGGAATCAATGACCAAGAAAAGGGAAGCACTGGTGGGAAAAGAAGTATCTGGGTCCCCTTCATAAGTCTGACCTGGTTTAAGATCAGGGAGCATAGTCTGATTGGGGTGATTGGTCAAGGGGGTCGAAGTTGGCATTACCTGACAGCAGGAAACAGGAAGAATGCCCAGAGGAAGAGGGACACAGCCTTCTTGGTTCCAGCCGTGGGAGGGGGGTAGGCAGGCAGGCGGACAAGGGTCACCAGCAGGGAGGGGGCAGGGGAGGGGCGCTGCCTTAAAGGGGCAGGCCTGCTTTGCCTAGGCCTTACCTGCAACCTATCTCCCCTCTGCCTCCTAGGGACACCCCACCCTCCCAAATGCCCAGCTGCTGATCTCTTCACTTTCTCATAAACAGTAAAGGAGTCTAGTACAGAATGGTAATGTTTATTAGGAAAGGATTCAATTCGACTTCCACATCCACACGCACAAGAAACAGACTGTAATTGTCGTTTCTACAGAGGAAGGAGGGCCCTGAATTCCGGGGGACAGGCAGCTTCAGCTGGACAAGGAAGGGAGTATGGGCTTAGGGTGGATAAGGCCACTGTTCACCACCCCTCCAGTGAAGTTTAGTGGCTAAAATACTGCTACAACCCCCCTGCTCCCCAAAGCCAGCAGCCCAGTATAAAGCTATGTTCTCTAGCAGACACCTGGGTTATAGTTGGTGGGGGGAAGGGAGGAAGAATGTCTTGCTATCTCTTGCTGCTCCTCCGGGTTTCTTTGCCGTTACTGACAGGGTTGCTGGAAGGGCCAGAAGGGCCAGCAGGCGTGTGGTTGGGCTGGCTTCGGGTAATCCGGGTGCTGGGAGGGTGGGAGGGAGTGTGAGGGGAGTGTGAGCCACCACCAGGACCTGGTGGGGCACTCAGTCCATTCCCGTTCTGGCTCTCAGAGGCTAGTTGTGGGAGAAGGGGAAGAAACACAGGAGTTAGAGAACTGAGGTGGGAAAGCTGTCTACCCACAAGGCCTCCCTCCCTGCTCCAGGAAGCAGCAGTCTTCACCAAGCACAACTGTGCACTGATGTCATGGGAGCAAGTGCAAAGAACGTAAGTTGTAGGAATGCAGCCCCAGAGAAGACATTTTTGATAGTTGCTACGTGAATCCTCATATGATATTTTTCCTCCTTTATTCATTTCTGTATTGTTGGGAGTCAGACCTAGAATTAGCTGTTTAGTTCTAGGCTCAAGGATCACTGACGAAATATCCCTTGACCAAAAGTGACTATAAAATTGGAGAAGCATTGGGAAGGGAAGGGCCTGAAGTTTCTGTGTTTAAATATAAGAAGGATCTTAAAAAAAAAGAAAGAAAGAAAAAGGTGTGGTGTGTATCATGATGAAAATATAAATAAGAATAAGCAAAAAAACTATTGTACATACTCTCATGCCCCCAAAATAATGAGCAACATTTCTGTGTATATTTTCAACTTTTGATGGCTTCCTCAAACTACCTGAGCTGTGTCTATCACGATCACTGCACTCAACCAAAGTATAATATAACCATCGCCTGCTTCCTTCATGGACTACAAGCTCCTAAGGGAAGTGCTGTGTTTTTCCCTTGGCATTTCCCATCAGGAAATGCTTGTTACATGAAGGCAGAAGCCTGCCTCTCACATACATAGGGCACCAGGGACTGAACCATATTCTAGATTTTGAGTTGGAAAAATCATAACCCTGAGGGTCAAGGCCTAGAAGCAAAGTCTAGTTTCAGGAAGATTGGCAACCCCGAAAGGGAACTATTTAGCATTTACAGCTGTGCAGTGTGGACTCCATGTTGTCATGTAAGTAACACGCTGTATTAGAACTGTGTGATGAATCGAAATGGGCAAGGGGAAAAGGGGCAAGGTTCTTCCAGAGAAGAAACAGAGAGGAACAAGCAAAATGAATGAGGGCAATCTTTGTGGAGAAACTGCTCTCATTTTTGCCTTTGAGTGGTAGTGGCAAAAGGGAGCTCCACCAGTGATAGAAACACATCCCTAAATATTTTCACCCCAGAGACTTGCAAAAGAGTTGGGAGAAGAATCAGGTGGAAGGGGATATATTGAGGAAAGAGAGATTTGGAAAAGGGATGAGGGCAATGCATCTTTCCAGGCTGGGGAGATTAGGAGAGCAAAGAGGACCAATGGGTGGGAGGGAACAGGTTTACCTGTAGAAGTGGCAGGGGGTCCGGTGGTAGGCTGGGGAGCCGTGGGGCTGCTGTCGTTCTGTACCTGAAGGTACAGATGGCATATTTAGACCTTGCTCCCTTCCATGCTTCTTGGCCTGACATGCCCTCCTTCCCCACATCATGGTCATGGGACTCACCGTCTTGTTGGGTGCCTGCTGGGCGCTGTACTCAGGGTTTGGCTCACTGAAGTTAGGAACCTCAGAATAAACCATACAGAATCTGCGAGGGCGGAGAGTGGCAAAGCCTCAGACCCATCCTCTGTGCCATTCTGGAGGCCTCCAGGACATGAAATGAACACCCTTATGCTGCCTCCTTGAAAACCTCAAACTCCCCTCCTGGTCTGGTTCTTCTACATCCCAATCCCCAAGATAGGACTTACTCCCCAATCTTCTGAAGATCACCCCCACGGCCAGTGTACAGCGTCAGACAACCCTTGAACACTGAAGCGTACCTGTGGGGGGCAAAAAAGCAGGATTCAGAATTACAGACTGTTAATCCCACCCCCTTGACTGTTGTTGCCATTGGATAGCCAAAAGTCACCACCTGGCTTACCCTTTGGTGAGCCGGATAATGTCTCCAGGCTGGATCAGGTTGCCCACGTCGTCCCAGACAGAGATGTTGATGCTGCCAGTTTTGTCTGCCACTTTGCAGGTCCGAACCTCGTGCCCGTCCTTTGTCTTGGTCACTCGGCCTGGAGGGAGCAGATCAGTGGGGGTAGGGGGATGCTCAAATAAGTGGGGGCGTGGTCAGATGGATGAGATTTAGATACCGGTGGAGTGAGGAAAAAGGTGGACAAATAGGGCAAAGCCAAATCTCGGGCAGGTACGGGGGCCGGGGGCAGCGGGGGAGGAGGAGCAGCACCATGGAGAGGGCCCTGAGTGGGAAGAGGCCCACGTGGCATTGGAGGCTTGGATCTGGCCAGAGTTCCATCTACCCTACATTCTGGAGGGGGCTAGGGGAGAGATTGGGGGTGCGCAGTATCTTGGGGTGCGCCCTGCATCCCAGGTGCAAGCTAAGAATGGAGATGATGTTCTCCCCCTCCTGGCCCCCAACTCCGAGAACCCGCGCAGGGGGCCCACCACCCCAGCATAGCCACCTGTCTCCAGCACAATGAAGATGAGGTTCAGGTTCTTGAGCCCGGGCTTGATATCCTTCACGAAGGTCTCCGTCGTCATGCTGCCCGAGCCTCAGCACCCCACTAGAAGGGGGGAAGGGGGATGAAGTTTCAACGCTTGGAGTCTTTGCCCCCATGTTCACTTCGCAAGGCCTATCTACTACACTAAGCTGGGGTCAGGCAGCCTCAAACCCTCTAACTCCTCTAAAAGGTTAAAAGCGAACTTCCCCTGGGGTCACCAACTTAAGATCAGAATTTGACGACCTCCGGATAGGCTGCTGCGGGGCTGGAAGCCCCCCTCACGGGATGCTCTTTCAGTCTCAGTCCCCGAGGTGGGAGAGACAACGGAGACCCGATTAGGGAACCTGGTGCAGAGCCAAGGAATGGAATCTTACTCATCAAACCTTTCCGAACCCTTATATGGACAACCGGGAACTCGATCCATCCCCTCCCCCACCCAGAGCCCACCACCCACCAGCCAACCGGCCGGACAGTGTACGCCGCTGAGCCGCCCGCAGGGGGAGCCAAAAGCTCGGCTACCGCCGGATGCAGACCAATGAAACGCAGCAGTGCGAACATTTCCGGAAGTTTCCCCCGGCGGGCCCTCCAGCCAATCAGCACCGCCCTGGCTCAGCACCGCCCTGGCTCGTCCCCGCCACCCCGCGTCCTGCCGCCCATCCCCACTCAACCAATCGGGATTTGAGATTCACGCGCCGCCAAGGGGGTGGGATTTCAGGCATTAAAGGAGCCTCAGAGAGGGTTGACTCCGCAAGGAAAAAGATAGACCACGAGGGGGCGCATCAGATCCCAATTTTCCTCTACTTGACTGGGAGAAAGCACTTAGACTCTTTTAAGATTTTCTCTCCGAGACGTGACACAGTAGAAAAAGGGCCGAAGGTTTTTGGAATCCGGCGGACAAAAGCATGAAACCTGGCTCATCACTTCACTTCTTTTCTCGACAGTTCTTAAATTTGTGATTCCGTTTTGCAGAGAAGAAAACGAAGTTATATAAAAAGCAGTGCCTACCACGCAGCAGGCAGTTTCCTCCTCTTCTGCAACTGCTCTAACCCTCATCTTTATTCCTGATTTGGGGTCTTCATCTTTAATGCACTATCCAGCTTGGTCAAGGTCTCTAGAGAAAGCAGCATTCACACCAGAGACAGACGATAGGCTAACTCCCCTCCCCCTGCAACACACACACCTTTGGAAGTAATGGAATTCGAGACCCAAAGAGCAACATTTGCATTAGTCCCTCTCACAGTTCGAAAGCCACCTGTTCCTAATGCACTTATCTCACTAGATCTCAGGGTCCCCCCAGGAGTGAAAAGAGGCCTGAACCTTTAGTTTCCTTTGAGATTTGTTACATAGTCAACAAAAGGTAGCTAGCTCTGTAATGCTGTGTGTAAACCAATTACATACAAACAATGTATATACACGTCTATTACCATTTGCTTAGTGAATATCCATAACAAATAGTGCTTAATATTAGATTAACCTAAGAGGTCTTGTAAATGTAATGTCTTGTTTTGGTGAATCAATCCCTTACCTTCTCCTAGAGCGCTTTAGGCTCCACCCTGACTTTCCTCGAAGATCAGGTTCTCTCCCTCCCACACTCCCAGCCACGGTGTTGTACCCCAAAGAAATCAAACCACAACCCAGGAAGAAGGACATTTTATCTCCCTTCTCTCTCCTTAAGTGTTTCAGGGAGCTGTACGAGTGTTCGGAGAGCCGCCTAAGTGTGCCATGAGTGCGGCTAGGAGAGAGGCGGACAACCCATAGGGCACCCTAGATCAAAGTTTTCCGGTCAGACACTCCCGCATTCCCCACCCCTTGATCGCCTTGTTGACTACAGTATCCACTCCCACGACTATGAGTCATAAGATCGGGAGGCTCCGGGATGCTGACCGCGGCTCCGGAAACGGGCGAGGGGCCGGACAGACGGCAGGTCACACTGCAGGCCAGCCTCCTAGCGACGATCTCGCACCAAGCCGCATCAGCCTTAGGGCATGGAACACGTGCACCCCTCCGAAGCCAAGTCTTGCGCCCGGGGAAAGTCGGCCTCCAGCTCTGCCCCTGACGTTCACGCTGAAAAGAACACAGAGTTCGCCCTCCCAAATGACTATACAGCTCTCGCTGGGACCATAAAGATTTCCGGTCTAGAGCGGAGGTCTGGCTAGCCTTCCATCTCCTCGTTGGCCGCTCGTGGTTTCTAATCCAGGGCTGAGTTAAACAAAGAGGCGGGGTTTGGTGACGAGCTTCCGCCGGGTTGCGTAGCAGCGGTGGGCGGGGTCAAGGCTCTGTCTCACACCGCGACGAGTGGTCGGAGCTTTCTCCCCTCTCCTTCCCCTTCCCCTTCCCCTCCCAGGAAAGGCTGGGACCCGGCGCCCGGGCTATCCCGCGGCCGCTGCGGCCTCAGCTCCAGCCAGGCCAGGGTACGGAGAGTCCAGACCGCTTCCAGGGCGGTGCGTACGGCGCCTGCGCGGGCTCCCACCTTTAAAGAGGGTGTGGGAGGGGTGGGGGCGATGTCCCAGGGGGATTGGGGCGGGGGTTTGAGATACTGGAGGTCGGAAACAGGAATGGGAGTAAAGATGAAAAATGGAGGAAGGGAGCAGCGATAGGGAGAAGTCCAGAAGTGATAAAGAGGCGCTGGAGGGTGGGTTGTTCGGGAGGTTCTGTGGAGTAGGGGAGCCTTAAGAAGTGCAGGAGAGGGCCTGAGCTGGCTGGAGGACTGGGAGGAGGGGACTCAGGCGAACAACGTGGTGTTTAAATGGGCAGTGACTGACGGGCTGGGAAGGGAGGAAGGGAACGTTCTGGGGGCCAGCCTGGGCAGGGGCGGCGGAACCTGAACCCCCGCCCTCGAAACGCCATAGCTTGGCTCCTCTCCCATGCCTTGTCTTTGGCAGCCTTGTCTTCCTCCTCCGTTCCTTCCTCCTCCCCCTCCCACCCCTCCATGAAGGAATCTCACATTCCTTACATCCCTGCCCAGGGTTTGCAGCCAGTCCCTCTTCGCAGGCTTCACACACCGGAAAGCCTTCTCCAAACCAGAACGCAGGGGAAATTGAGGAGTGGGAGGAGGGGGCTGGAGAAGAAGTAGAAAGCTGGGGGGGGTGGTTTGCCTGAGGCACTGACAGACATCTTCCCCATTCAGAAACTGATTTCATTCCACTTCGTAGCGAATGTGGTCGTTAAATGAGACTACTGAGCCACTGTTCTTGTAGGCTGGGCTGTGAGTGATAGTCTAATCCCTTCCTATACAGGTGGTTTTAGTCTGACAATAGAGCAAGAAGCTGATAGTGTTGCAGGCTGATAGTTTCCCCCCAGATAGGAATGGGGTAGACTCGTGGTAGGGAATCTGAGTGATGCAATAATGTTACTGCTCTCTGTGTCCCGCCGACTTTGTGGCTGCGTCTGGTTCCCAGTAATGGAAAAGAAGGAACAAGCTTCTTTCAAGCATTTCTTCATGGGTCCTCAGTACTCTAAATTTACTTTACATTGTATTACTACAAATACCTTACCTGAGAACAACAGTATTTGGTATGTTTTCACGTTTATCATGTCATTTGACTTTTCTTAATAATATGGGTAGGTAAGGCAGGTTGTCATTTTCCCTACTTGACAGGTGAAGGAATTGGAAAGTACATAAGGGTTACATGGCATGATAAAAGTCATACAGTTGACAGAGCTGGGACCAGAACCCGTGTCTTCTGTTCCTCTCAGTTGAAAAATCCTGTTTTGTTCTGATCAAGGAAGCACTGATGTAGGATTGGTTTTCCTAGGATGGACAACTGTTTGCTTTTTGAGTCTGGAACATTTCACTAGAAGAAGACAATGTAGCCAACAACACTGGTTCCTGAAAGCATTTCTTGAGGTGCAGGTGCATATGCCAGAAGTAGGGTTGGGAAGTAGGGTGTTGTCAGAATGGAAGAAGTATTATACCTTCCTCTGTATTATGGATGAGGGAGAGCCATATCAATTTCCACCCTACCTTCCTTCCCAACCACGGGGAAGAGAAAGTGTATCTGGCATTGCACCGTTATCTCTCTGATTAGTTTTAGAATACCACACTAACGTGTTGTGGCTGCTGAGCACAGTAAACTGATGAGCTGGTATACCAGACTCAAGATGAAATGGTCTCTGTTTTATGTGTAAAGATCATTGTCATCCTATTCCTTCCTAACATAGCCCTTAATCTTGATGGATGTGAAGGTGAGGAAAGGAATTTGAATAGTTTCTATTCTGCATTGGAAGCCTTGTCTCCCTCTTCTTGATTTCATCCTTTTAGTATTGAGAATCTGAGCAGCCTAATCATACTGCTACCTCCAGTCTTCCCAGTTGCCTACCCTGGAATAACTTCCTGATCCATTGCCTCTTCATTTTTTTTTTCTAAACCCAATCCCCTCAGGAATATTTCCTGACTTGGGAAGTAGTACAGCACCTGTACCAACATTCTTGAGTGTCCTCTCCTTATGAAATAGTGTTTTCCAAGTGGAGGGTAGGACAGAATTCTTTTTGTATGAAATACTTTATGTGAAAGCACTTTGGAAACCTTAAAGCCTCATCTTGTGCACACAGGGTATGTGGGTCACTGCATTGTATAGCCACAGATGTGGACTCACTGACGTTACTTACAGTCGTGTGCACTGAAGAAAAGACACTTTTTCTATCTCAAACAGCTCCTCCTCCCTGCCTTTCTTCTTGTCCCTTTCTCTCCCCCTCTCAGCTATGTTTGAATCTCCTGGCTGGTGTGTGTGTGATTCCTTAGCCGATGATCGCACTCCTTAGGGGGTCGTCCTGGATGCCTAGCCCTGAAACCTGTAGTCCTTATGGAGTTGTTCATCCTCCTTAGCCGACCTCCAGATCCAAGTCTGTCTAGTCTCACTGCCAAGTGCAGGTGGTTCTCCTGACTCACCTTTTTCTTCCTTGTTCTTATTAATAGAGTGCTCCTGATCGTGACATCACATCCATCCCCTTGGCGATGGAGCTTGTCACTAGGAAGGAAGACTCAGTCGGAGAATAGCCAACAAGATGGGTCACTGGGAGCGTCTCCTGAGTGGCACTGAGTGGAGGCATCAGGGGGTTGGAGCCTTGTGAACAGGGAACCTGCCCCCCAACACTTGGAAGGTAAAGAGCCTTGATTTAGAATCTCATGCCAGGCTTCCACCCCCTTCTCTGCCAGTCTGGGTTCCTTCTGCTCTTGAAAACTTGATTCTGAAAACTTGTATCATAAAACTTTCTGTGATTAACCCACTTCAGTCTGTTCTTCTTTGCATTTTTATGTGTTACATGAACTATGAACTTTTATTTGTTGGTAAATTGCTTAGTACACTTATGTCTTTTTATGTGTTTTATATCCTGTATACTCACGTATTGGGCTCAAGCCTATAGCTTAGTTTGAGGATAAGGATTATGTTTCTGTTTCTTTTACATGTCTCTACTGGCAAGGGGACTGTGTATATAGGGCGAAGACGAGGTTCGGGGTGAGCGTACAGATAGTGCTGGCGACCAAGTGGCAGGCCCTTGCTGGCCTTTGAGGCCTGGTAGGCCTCACTTACAGTGTCAGATGACTTCGTGAAGAATCATGTGCCCTCTGGATTCTTTTTTAAATTGAACCAATTAAAGTGTGCTAAAGAAGCCTAACTTAAAAACCCCCCTGGGGCAAATCCCATATGGGTCACAACATTCTAGACTCACCTTAGAGGCTGTGTACCCCACCTCCTCATCTTAGAAGGGAGGAAGCTGAGTTCTAAGAGCTCAGTTCTCTAAGAGGGGGAGTGGCTTTAAGGACTCTACTGCTTAAATGAAAAAGACCACTTTCTTTCACTTAGAAAGTCGAGTTGCCTAAAGAGAATAAGGTCACGCTTTGCTCTGGTTAAGCCAGGGTACCTTTTATAACATAATTATCCCCTAACATAACCTTTTATTGTTTTATATGCTGAATCTTAGAATCATGGAACTTGTATTAGTATTAGAATTAGTAGAAGGGAGACTATTTACCTGCATTTTAACCTTATGCTTTTGCCAAGAATTGGTGACAGCATGCCCAGTTACCCTAAAATGGGTTGGAGTGGCTTCTCTAATGTTTCTCTTCCTCTTGTGTGTGTGTGTCTGTGTGTGAATGTGAATATGCATGGTTTGCACATCTGTACATGGGTTCAAGAAGCCCTGAGTAAAGGAGGCTAAATGTTCGGGCTCCTTTAGGAACAGTCTGTTTTGAATTCCTCGCTGTCTCTAGTAGAAGATCAGAGAAAACAACTGCAGCAGTAAGTTAAAAGGGCATAGGAAAGGGTCTAGTAAAGTTCTTGCACTTTTATAATAATGCTGATGAGGAACAGAGAGAGACACCCCAGTGTAACATTACAGAAGTATAGCAACATAATTACCTGGTTATGTTCTGGCCTGCAGAATAGAAGGCTGGGAATACAGTTTCCAGTTTGGGTTCAGGGTGTTCAAATCAGGGAAGTTGGCTGAACTATAAGCCTGAAGGGGCACCTCAGTGCTACTTTAGTTCAGCTCCTTCACTTAAGTGAAACCTTCCAAGGCCTTTTCCTATTCCACAACTCAAGGAGAATATCTAGGAAATAGCTTCCAGTGGTTGTGGTGACTGGCTATGACTCTTGAGGTCCCTGGGGTTTCAGTTTTATTAAGGCTTCTGTCCCCAAGGCAGTGAGCAGTTGAGTTCTCATGAGACATTCCCCTTGGAATGATAACCCATCCCTATGACAGCCCCGCAGCAGTGTTGAGAGTCCCAGAGAGTGGAAGGAATAGTCAAGGAGCCTAGCCTGTCAGCTGGACTGTCTGCCTAGGGGCAGGGCGAGACAGGGCAAGGAGCTGGCTTCCAAGGTTGTGTATAACCCACGTCAGCTTTTGTTTCCCATAGATGACAAATGGGAAATACCCTAACCAGATTAGAAATCTAAATTTCTCCTTAGCTCTTTTTCAGCACCTCTGAAAGGATATAGTTATAGGAGGGTGGATAAAACAGGAGCATCTCCAAGCAGATAAAGGAGAGGTTTTGATTTAGGAAGAATAATGCCCAGCATCTCTGCAGAGTTTTGGAAACCCTGACTTTATGGTGGGCACCTTGCAACTCCTAACCCTGACTGGTGGCTTCCCACACCCTCTGGCTGTCTCTGCCCCAACTGAGGCAAGTTCTTTGCTGTTTCTTTTGGGGACATGGGATCTCCTGAGACCTCATTAAGATAAGTTTTCAGAATTTGTATGCCTCCTTAAGATAACATTATTAGCACTGTTTTAAAACAAAAGTGCAGTGAAACACAGTGCAGACTTACAGCCTGCTTTCTGCGTTGCCCCACAGCAACAAGAGAGAGAAGGGTAATGTTTGTTTGTTTTTTTTTTGAGAAGGGTAATGTTTTCATTTTTGCCCCTTGCTTTAAGAATAACTGATTTTTTTAAATTAAATCTTGCAGAAACATAACCTAGATCAAAAGTATAATCTCAGCATCTAGATTTTTAAACTATCCACACTACATACACTACTTGGAAAAAAAAGTTCTTCTAAAAACAGGACCATGATATTCATACTGTTTTTGCAACTTGTGTTTCTCAGTTTGAGAAACACAAGTTTAGCATAGCAGTTAACGGCTTGGGCCCCGGGGCTGGTCTGCCTGGGTTGGAGTCTGGCTCTACCACCTATTAGCTGTATGATTTTGGACAAGCTTTTTAACCTTTACACATGTTTCTCATCTGTAAAATGTTGATCATGATAGTCCCAACCCCACAGAGCAACTCATAAGAGTTGTAAGAATTAGTTAATATACAAGAAACGCTTGGAATAGTGCCTAGCATATAGAAACATTCAATAAATACTGACTTCATTGTTATTTAGTTGTATAAATAAAACAATCATCGTTAAAGAAAGGAGAAAAATTAATGAAGCAAAGCTATGAGTGAAATTACAAGTACTAAAAATTTACATTTAGAGACAGCTTCTCTTATATGTATCCTTCTCCAGTGTGTGTACACACACTTTTTTAGAACACAATGGCACTATAATATAATATGTATAAATGTTATTTTACTTACTATGTAAATAATGAATACATTTAAATAATATAAATATTAACAAGCATCAAAAAAAAAAGTCATACTGGTGCTACATTGTGTACCGTTTTATGGATACAAGGAATTCTACTGGATGTTTACTATTTCTGATTTTATTTTTCTTGTATAAACAATCCTTAAACAATCTAGTATATTGTTTTACACCCTTGTGTAATTATTTCATTAGGCTAAGTTACTGGAATTAGGATTGCTAGGTTAAAGGGTATATATATATTTTTTAGGACATTTACTGTTTTTTTCCTTGGTTATGATTCACCTGATCACCTTGATCAACTTTTTCTTGCAAGAGGACATTTTTCCAGACCTTGGTATAGTATATGACATGTTGTGTGTGTATGTCATCTATGTTTTATTACATAAATGACGGGTATAGTCGGTGACACATTGAGTACTTTGGACATGTTTTTTGATTTAACCTTAATATTCCTTCATAACAGGATAATTATAGCCTCATTTCTTTATTTGAATATTGAATATACACACAGAGAAAACCTTTTTGAAAGGTACAAAGGAATTTTTAATTTCCTTAATCATTTCCCCCACTCGTCTTCCTTAATGACCCCTCCTCAGGAGCAACCACTGTTGGCAGTTTCCTGTGTCTCCTTCTGGAGAGTTCCATGCATATGAAAGGATATACATATACATACTTTTTTTTGCACTCGTGGTGGCATACTTTACATATACTATTATATACCTTAGTTTTTTGTCTTAACAGTGTGTCTTAGAAGACTGCATACCTGGTGCATTTTAAGGCAGCAATAATTTTTTCCCCTCTGATTAGTTTTATAGATGTTGTAGAGAAACCAACTTACAATTTATTTAATTGAGGTAGATATTGTAAAGTAAGCAGTTCAACAGTTCAGTTATGGCTGTTTGGGGATATTTTTGCAATCGTGTAGAAGCTGTTTCAGGTAGCTCCTCTTCCTGACTAAGCAGTCTAAGGTTGTATTAACTGAAGGAGAGAGGAGAGGTGGCGATAGTCCCATTATGTCCATGTTGGCCACCCCACAGGTGGCACTCTGGGTACCTTGTTTTAGGGGCCATGGGCATCCTAGAACGCTGTGGAAGAACTGAGTCTGGGCTCGATGTTTCTCCTCTGTGCTCTTGCTGCGCCCTATCTTGACCTTTCCCAGGAGTGTCTGAGTGCAGGGTGACTGCTTTTGGGTACTGTGGAGAGGATTCTTGCTCTGGAATGTTAAACCAGATTGACTCTTATGGTCCATTCTAATTCTGAAGGCAAAAATAAAACTCACTTAACAGGGTCAATGGGAAAAACTTCTAGCTATGATCAAATTCTGTCATCTTTTATTCCTGTACTTCAAAGTAAAAGCATTCTCGTATTTTTTTATTCTCAAGTAACTTCTAAATTTAAATTTATATTTTTTCCATATTTGTGGAAGACAGATGTTTAAATTTGAATTATGACTTTTGGGGGGTGGTTGGAGGTAATTAGGTTTATTCATTTAATTATTTTTAATTGTGGTACTGGGGATTGAACCCAGAGCCTCATGCATGCTAGATGTGCACTCTACCACTTGAGCTATAACCTCCCCACTGAATTATGACTTTTAAAAAAAAGTATACTAATTAAAACTTTTGGTAGTTAAAAATAGAAGAACATTATCCTCAGTCTTACGTCCAAAAGAAACCATTGTTAACATTTTGATAATTCTTTCTGGTCTCTTTGTGTATGGATTGTTTATAAATACATGCTTTTAAACAGATCTGTATGTAAATTTGTGTCCTACTTTTTTCACCAATTATTGTATTATGTTAACTGAATATTCCTCATAAGCATCATTTAAAAGATATGTTATTCCATTAAATGAATTTGCATTACCATAATTGTTTAACTACCTTTACTGTTCATTTAAATGAATAAGTGATTATCTGATTTTTTTAAGTTTACTGGTATGATTTTTGCAAATCTATTTGGACCTCTTTTACTACCATTCTTTCTTCCTTCCTCCTTTAGAGGTATCCCTCTTCCTATTTAACATAATTCCAGATCTCCTCCCTACCTCTCCCTCAATGACCAG